CTCTAATCACCTAACTTGCACATTTCGATGTGTATTGCCAACATACAAATGCTTCCTCAAGGGAGAAATGAGAACATAGGCCATAAGACAAAAACGAACCTAGCAAACCTAGCCGTCTAAGGTATCAGCCGTGAGAGAATGAGATAGACGGTGATCTATCTCATTCTCTCATAGCTGATAAAAGAGTGAATTCAAAAATTTACATGTCAAAAGATCGGCAGATATAGTTTTTTGCAGCAATACTAAGTCGCACGCATGTTTAATCCTATGAAGCAACGGAGTCATCATAATCATCGTTACCTTCTATTCCAAGTCGGTCTCAGCGTTCCCCAAATTTTCTCCATATGCTTTTGCCATTTTTTTTTTCCAACTATTTGCACCATATTGGGCGAGCATAGAAATGACATACGTGGATAAACTCGACATTGTGTGCTAGGTAAGTGAAGCACATTGCTTCCTGAGTGTTTCGCGCCTCCAACATTCAATATTAGCCACGGCTTCTTCTCTGGGATTTCTAATTATGCCACCTCCTCTTCAAGGGCGAAGCCCCTTTTCGTTCTTAATAACCAAGAACAGAGTTTCATTTCCCCCTGGTCACATCTCAATTTTTTCACCAAATCGTTCTTAATAACCAACAACCAAAATAAAAGAAATAGTTCCCACTTATGTAGTCAACAGTGTAGGATTTTCCCCGTTTCGATTCCGTAACTTCAGCTTTCTGTTTTTCCACATCATCTTCTGTTGTCTTCTTCTCATATACATCTTCACATATTCGATCCAATTTACTATTCATAGCGGACGTGATCTGCATTTGAAAATCTTCACGATCCTTATTTTTTCGAAGGCTCTTCTCTTCCTCTACTTTTTCTCGTCGCGTTATTTCTTCGTCTTCTTGCTTCAATCGCTCTTGTTCTTCTTCAGTATCGTGCCACACCTTCAACATAGAAGTCATATCCTGCAAGTTATCCAATCTTCTCTTAAGCCAAATGCCACCACTGGCAAAATAAGGCACCTGACCAACCATACCAGTGTTCTCTTGAGCATTACTAGAGGTCGAGGGTAGATTAGTGGAGAACGTTGTTAGCCATGCTACTAGCGACAACAGTCTGAGGTCAAGGCGACTGTAGCAAAACTAACTGGTGAAGCCACTACGTCGTAGTATGACCTCTACGTCGGTTACTTCACAAAGTCGATTGTCAATGATTACATTGGCATTGATGTGCATAGACCTTTGAACACCATGCACGTATTATCATGCCAACAGGACAAGACAAAAATGGACAAAACATCAGATCCGAACAAAGGAGTCTCAAGAGACACAGAGACATAAGATAAAAAAAAATCAGCCAAAACGCAACTTGCCAAAATATACATCGTAAATGCAACCGGCAACACGAACCAAAGCCTGCAAGGCGTGGTGACCCGACTGGTTTCACCTGGCCGCCTGTACGAGGACGTTTAAGGGGTCTTAACTGATGTCGAGTGAGAGTACTTACCGTAGAGTCTAAGTCAGGTGACTTCACTTCAGGGAACTTCTAAAAAGTAATGGCGTCCAATAGTTCATGGAGGTTCAAATCCACGCCAACTATCCATAAAAAAATCAAGTACCATACATCAGCTTAAACCTAAAAAAACACCTATTGTCAATTTTCAAATTGTTGAGTCTCACGTTCGAAACCTCATTTTGCTAATACTACTGGTACTGTCGATGTTGCCGTGAAACAAACTCAATGTCCCAAGGTTGGTCCTCGTCAAAGAAGTGACACACATTCACGGTTACCCAACATACAAACCCAAAACTCATCGCACAATCCTAGCTTCAAATCCAAACAAAGACTTTAACAATTCCACCTTAACACCTTCATCCCTTGGTCCCACCGTGTTATCACTGAAACCCAATGATCCCACATCCCAGAGAATTTATTAGAAAAGTCAATAAAGGTATCATAATACTATCACCAAAAAAATTATCAAGATAACCCCTCTGCTCAAGCTCGGTTTCCGAAGCCACCAGAAACGCCAACTTGGTCCCAAGCATTGGACTCACAGTCTATTAGAGGCCAAATTCAAATCCATCTACCTGACAGACTACATGTCCAATCTGAGAATTGAACACAACCAACAGCTTGTCAGGCAAACACCTAACCAATTGGCCACATGCGCTGAGGTGAAAGTGAAGCCCCAAGTTGAGTCAACACCTCAACACGGATTCTCCGCGACACGGTGTACCCAACCATGCTCATCCCCACGTCTCACAGCCACACATCGGTTCTACAATTTCTATGGAGATTACTGCGTGAAAGCAATGCATATCCAATTCGAGTAAAAGCCTTGTCACGCAAATGCCCAACCCCAAGATGAGGACTTCACCCCACCCAAGCACAGATTGCTCCGTGGTATGGTGTACACATCCATGGTACAAGCCATGCGAAAAGTCCAAAGTATAACCTCAAGTGTAGGAAGGGTGCGAGCAAATGAGTTTTTCATTTGCTGGTTGTATCTCCATATCAAGTATGCGCAGAAAGCATGCAAAACGGCTAGATAGAAGATGTTGCTGACCGTGTTGGCGACACCTGTTGTTTCTTGTATGCTTCCTGCACACATATTGAGATCCAAATATTACTTCGAAATTGAGACACATCTACTGAATAACATTCTTGCTTGCTCAGGACATTCGCAAAAGTTGGGTTGAGCCAGGCGGTCCAATGGACAAAATTGTTATCTTTGAGTGAGAAACTCTTCATTTTGGGTTTCTGCTTAGCAAGTTCTTCAGATAGATGAATTTTATTTTGTCTTATGACAATGTTGCATACTTTGGAACTCTGTAGGATGTGTTGTATTACCTATCCAACAATGGATCTTGGTCGACAGATAGGCTTTTAGGCCAACCCCCTACATGAGCCTATTCGGGTATGAAACCCAAACATGTCAGGGTGATGCCATTGATAGGCAGAAGCTTCCTTATGCAATGAGTGTGCTACACAACTCACTGAGCATTTGTTGAATAAGCAATGCTGCTACCCTTATGGAGGTCTATGTGACTTGCAGTGTGCTACCTGCCAGGGCCCAAGGTGGTACCCTCAGTTGCTAACATTTTTCCCTAAGGATTTTACTTTTTGATGCTATTTATCACGCTGTAGATTTATTACTTTACTTTCCATTGCAAGGAAAATGAGCAATAGCGAACTTCAGCAATCAAACAGCATCATTCATATGAGTCCAGATAGTCGTGACCTCGAACCAACAACAAAATTGCATCACGACATTCCCCAAATAATAACACACCAAGAGTTCATAATTGACAATGTTGAAATAGTCCCATCATCATCAACGAAGAACCAGAGTTGATATCCTATCTGGCGCTCGGCGCCCGGACTACATGTGGCAGATCCTATCTAGCCTATATTCCGATGTCGAAAGATGACGTCAACAGCTTTCCCGAAGTACGAGCATACAACGACCAATGTCGCACGCTTCCAGCACCAGGTATGTCACTCGCCACACTCACAACCTCGTTCCCCAACACACAGATGTCACTTGCACCCAAGGACCACACAAATATGGCGAAGTGATAATAATCGCGTAAAAGGTTTTTTTTTTAATTCAGTAAATGGAGGCTATGCTGTAGCAATTGCAGGTCATATAGCGCTTCACCCAGCGTACAGCAACGCAACTCGGCTATGGCTGCGTGCTCCCTGGGTTCTTCCCTCGTGAACCAGCGGTCCTCCTTGGGATCAGTATGATGTCGGAACCGAACGTGGTACAGCAGCTTGGGTTTCGGAGGACGTCCCCTGCCTGTAGGTCTATGAACTGGCAGCTCCCTGTGATCCACGATGTCATCAATGTCCACTTCTCCATCCATGGTCGGGGGCAGCATTGAGCGACAAGAAGGAAACTCATCTGTTTCCTTGAAAGGTGCAAGCTTGGAGGTGTGAAAGACAGGGTAAGTTCGGAGATGACCAGGGATCCGGATAACATAAGATGGCCCATCCGGATCTGTCCCAACGATGTCCAAGGCTTCCCAAGGTCCAAAGTACTGGGGCATGAGTTTGCGGGAAATCCCGTGCTCCTGTCCCAAAACTAAAGATTTAACCCAGACTCTGTCCCCAACCTGAAACGTAGAAGGACGACGGTGTCTATTTTCAAACTCTATCATTGCAATCTGTGCCTTCTGCATCTGTTCTACAACCTGTTGCATCTTCTGTTCATACCGATAAGCAAATTCTAAGGTACCAGGTGCAGCAATGGACTGATTCTCAGGAAGAAGAAAGTCTAAGGGCAGTCTAGGCTTGAAAGTTAGCAGTAAGTTGTTTGGACTCCCCCCGACGGCGCTGTGTACAGCGTTGTTGTACAAGCTGGCGATGAGAGCAAGCTTCTCATCTCAATCCACCTGGTTGGGCTTTATGTAGTGCCTCAACAGGTGTTGTACAACGCGGTTCAGTTGCTCGGCCTGACCCTTGGCCTCTGGGTAATTCCCAAAAGTCATTTGCAACTGAGTTCCCTGCTCTGCAACAGCGGCCTTCCACAACTCACTGGTAAACCGGACATCCCTGTCACTAATAATAGACTTCGGTAATCCAAAGTCTCTAACCCAATTCTCCTTGAACATCTTAATCACATACTCCGTTTTAGCTCTTTCTGACATTGCTACTAACCTAGCATACTTACTAAATCTATCCACGTTGACGAAGATGTGTCGCATCCCGCTCTTGCTGGTGACCAGAGTATCCATGAAGTCCATGGACAGACTCTCACCCGTCCGTTTCGGAATCGGAAGGGGCTTCAGTAGCCCAAGCGGAGCCTGAGTACGTGGCTTGTCTCTTTGACAGACCTGACAAGTCTCCACGTACAGTTGTGTATCTCGCATTATCGTGGGCCACCAGAACCGCTGCAGCAGATTGGCTGCGGTCTTCTTATACCCAACATGGCCGGTGGACATTCACCTAAAAATAAACTACGCGAACAACACTGGATCTCTGAGATGAAATTATTGAATCCTAAATTTTCGTAACAAATTGACTTGATATTGCAATCAAAACAAAAACTCTTTTAAGGCTCACTATTAGGGTCACAAAATCGTTTATTCCCCGCCTTCTCAAGGAACAACAAGCCATTGACCAATTCAAACTCGACAGAGTTCTTCTTGTCCTTCGCCTGGAGTCTGCGTATGATCTCAGACATGAACTGGTCCTCGCGATAGGCTTCCACCAAGGACTGAGTAACATTGTCCGTCAGATCGAACTCAGTAATCAGCGCACCTGAGAAATCAGGTCTACGCGACAAGGCATCAGCAACCTTGTTGTACTCCCCTTTCAGATACTGAGGGTCAAAGTCATATTGCTCAATGACTCCGATCCAACGCTTGAGAGCGTCAGAGAGCACCGGCTGAGTTCTCATCCATCTCAGGGTCTGATGATCAGTCCCAAGGATGAAGAACCTCCCAAGGAGATAGTGCCTCCAATGGGTCAGAGCCTTGTACACCGCATAGAGTTCCTTCTCATAGGTGGACTTAGCCAACTTCTGAGACGGCATTTTCTTGGACATGTACTCTACAGGCCTCAACTTTGGCCCCTCCTGCTGCGCGAGCACGGCGCCAATGCCATATTGGCTGACATTCGTGGTGACTATAAACGGCTTATCAAGTTCAAGAAGTTTCAAGACCTCGTAGTGTGTCAACGCATGCTTCAGATGTCTGAAAGCAGCCTCGCACTCATCTGTCCACTCCTATGGGGTGTCAAGGCGGGTCAGATCAGTCAAAGGAGCGGCCACTATGCTATAGTTCTTAACGAAAGTCCTATAGTAGCCTGTCATTCCTAAGAAAGATCTCATCTCAGTCACAGACTGAGGACATGGCCAATCACGAATGCTGGCCACCTTCGCGTCATCGGGCTTCAACCCTTTCGCGGATATCTCATGACCCAAGTACAAGACGCGGGTGCGGCCAAACTCGCACTTCTCACCGTTGATCTTGAACTTGTGTTGTCGCAGGAGACTGATGACTTTGTCCAAATGTGCAACGTGCTCCTCGATAGTCTTACTAAAAATAAGTATGTCATCAAGGTACACGATGACAAACTTATCCAAGTAGTCATGGAATATCCGATTCATAGTGTGCTAAAAGGTGCTAGGAGCATTGCAAAGGCCGAAAGGCATCACCACAAACTCGTACAGACCGTACCTAGTATGAAAGGCGGTTTTGTGTTGATCCTCGGGCCGAATTGCAATCTGATGGTACCCGGACTTCAGATCTATCTTACTGAAGTACCGACACCCTTGCACTCTATCTARCAGATCATCRATGCGCGGTAGGGGCTCTCTGTTCTTTACAGTGATGGCATTGAGGCCCCTATAGTCAATGCACATCCTAAGTGTACCCTCCTTCTTAGGTACGAATAGTACAGGAGATCCATAAGGACAGACACTCGGTCGGATCCAACCCTTCTCTACGAGTTCCTTGAGTTGTCGGTGAAGCTCATCAAGCTCGCCTGGAGACATCTGATAGATCCTACCCTTCGGGATACTACACCCTTGGATAATATCTATCGTGTGGAGGACCTCCCTCTCTACAACCCCTGTCGGCTCTTCAAATAGATCAGGGTACTTGGCAACTACTCCCTCTATCTCCGGCGGCATTTTCACTGGCTCGCCTGCAGCAGAGACAAAAACTAAGTATATACCCTCCTCCCGATGTTGCTTATAATAATTATAGAACGCGGCCGCACACATGTATCCATGAGACTCAATCAGACTACTAACTTTGAACTTGTGCAATTTGGCGGTCCCTCCACCTGGCAAAGTGTGTTTGACCACTTTTCGGTCCCAGTCAAACTGGGGCTGAGCCACAGAGAGCACATTCCTAGTAACATATCCATTGGGAGATCGCCACTCACTAGGAACGAGACGCGATGTCTCAATTCCCCTCCCACGTACGAGAACCAACACTCTACATCCTGGAGGTAGTCGTTGACTACCATGCGCTGTTTGTTGGCACAGGTCGACTCCACAGGTCGGCTCAGGCGCTGCACTCGCCCCTATAAACGCAAACTCTCAATGCACGCGCGACTGATAAAGTTTCTAGTCGAGCAAGTGTCATAATAGGCCCCACCCTTGCGGCCGCCAATGACTACCTCGCGGACGAACATCTCACCCTTCCGGGCTTTGACTAGTACCATCCAAGAAGCTAGCGGGTCTGATCTAGACCACTCCTCTTCTAGCTCCTCTAAGGACTCAAACACATTCATCGAACAGACGCTCGATGGGTCTGAACGTGTTTGTGGGACGACGCTGGAGTCAATAGCTTGGTCCATCTCTCAAGATGGTGCGGGTGTTTCCACCACCTTGACCCTAGCAGGAACAAATACTATTCCTACTGGCCCGGTGTGTTTCCCGGAACACTGCCAGAAGAACTAGCCACATTGCTACCAACTGGATGGGAGGATCCCAACACCTGCCCCATCGTAGGCGGGATCTTATCGGTCACCTTCTTATTGCGGCACTTGAACTGGTTATGGTCATATTGGCCACAACGAATACAGGCCTGCCGTGAATAACGATATCTCCACACGTCCTCTGTAAGACCCGCTTTCGCCCATGGAGGAGCATTGGGGTCAACTTGAATCCTAGACCGAGAATCTCCACGACGTCTACCGGTCGCCTTACCTTTCTGAGTTACAACAGCGACTACTCCACCCCCTGAAGCTTCTACGCTGCCCGCCTCTGAACCTACTCCCTCCTGGAAGTTGTTGTCTAGCTCGATAGTAGGACCATCGTTATCGACAATTATTAAGCGGCCCTTCACCTTCCAGTTGGGAGGCAGTGTCTTCTTCCTTCCATCCGCAGTGGGTGCCTGTCCATGCCCTATCTTTGCCTCAAGGTCTAGGGCCATCTTGCTAAACGAAGGAAAGTTGTGCATATTGATGTTGGTCTGACTTGCCAACTGGTTCCTGAGAGGCAAAAATAAGCATCTCAGGTACGAGGTAAGTAAAACCTGGGGGTCATAGCGCACCCTAGGGACACAGATCAGACGCTCAACAGCATCGGTGGCTTCCCTTACTGACTTAAATTGCCGCGTGTGCAGTGCCAGGATCACGTCAGTGGCCCTTTGGGCCTCCTGAGGATCATGCCACCTTTCCTCCACCAGCTTGAGGAAGTCATCCAATTTCTAGGTGACCGGCCAAGTGCGAAAGTCATGACCATACCCCTGGAGCTGCACCTTCGTGCGACAAGGTAAGTTAACACCTAACATAAACTGGCACTGCCCTTAACCACGTGTCGAGGTCTTCACTTCTTATCCCCTGTAAAGGGTTTCGGAGCGGCGATGACCGTCTTTGGAACCGACTGTGTTTGTCCCGACCCGTGCATCACTCCGGGCTGTGGACCCTGTGACACAGGTTGTTGTGTCAGCTGCTGGGGCTGTGTGCCCTGCGGCTGCACAAGCTGCGAGACAGCAGGCTGCGTGGTGACCGCAACCTGCAACGGAGATTGGGTGTACACTGTCTGTACAGGAACTTATAAACTAGTCTCTGCTGATACCCCTCCTGAAAGCAGCATGCCCAGGGAAACGATCGCTATCGATGATGGAGCTACATATGGGGATACCCCAATCACCGATGGGACATAAGGAGGAGGATGTACAATGGGTCAGGCACTAGGCCCGAACATTGGTGACGTTGTTGACGCTCGCCCAACCAACAGGGCCAGACTTTGCTGGATGTCCTGAAGGATGGTTGTTTACTGGTCTTGCATCTGCACTACATTCAGTAGGACAGACCGGATGATCCTCACATCATCCGTCACGTTCGTCAGGTCCATCTCGTCTAACTCATTTACGTCCGCTTGTCTACGTTGCATCCTGGCTCTTCTTCTGATCATCCTTTCTTTCTCCGCTTTTATATCTCCTAACACCTTCTGTACCCGCGCCTCCTGCAATGCTGCTTGGAGAATGGCGATCTCATCGGGCGTCAACACTAGTGGCTGGCTTGCCACTAGGCCAGAGGACTGACTCCGGGTCTGCGCGACCGTTGACCCGACAAACCCTGAACTACAAGCTTGAGTGGTCTGCTGCGCAGAAGTGGCCATGGCTTCCGAAGTTGCGGCCTCACTCACAAGTGCCCTACTAGCCTCTGCTGTTGCTGCCTCTCCCTGAGCTGGCGGAACAAAAATTTGTCGCCCTCTGGTCCTAATGCCAAGTGGGCAATTGGGCGTCTAGCCGATCGCAGTATCCTCCGGTCGTCCTCTCCAGTGTCCTCCTCGTCGCTCATAAACTACAACCCTGTACACAATCTGCACTAATGCACTTGAGGTGCCTACCGCAGCGTAGTGCACAGACCGATAAACTGGTGGCTATTTCGGAGACTTTACATTCGGGTTAGTAGGTAAGTTAGATTCCTACAAATAAAACTATTTTTAGTTTGACTAGTCTGCAAACAGAAGCATCATGAACAAGAAACAGTTCTAACTAATGCTGTCTGTCAGATGTCAATGGTTGTACACCTAACTAATCAAAACATAAAAATAGAATCATTTGTGTGGATAGGACAGCATGAAATTTTCTCGAACATATCTTCTAGAATTTACCCCTCCCTTAGTTCCACTGAGTATCACTTGACGTTAGTGTCCCTGAGCAATCTGGAGAGCGTCACGTGTCTAAAGGTGTGTGTCCGGCCCACCCCTGTGCCCCGAGTATCTGCTGAGCTGGCCAGCCCTGCACTAGATTTTCCTCGCGTGCAGCGAGCCTTACAACCATTGGCCGATCCAGAGGCAATTTAACGTCCACCCCCAAGTGACTCCAGAAATTCTTTTACGTCTCAACCGGACGACGATCACAGCCAATGGTTCCCCTTCCGATGCTTATTTAAAGACGCCCGGTCTCGTCTCCCTTAAGGGCTGGCTTGCCCTTCAGTACCCGTCTAACAGCGCAACAGGCCGAACAAAGGACAAACAGCAAAGCATGCGTGCTCAACTCCCGGTGGGTTGGCATGGTGACCGTGACCCAGTGCTTCGTCTAGGGCCCTTCAGAAAGCTCCGCCCATCTTCTCCCAGATGCTCTACGTGAACATTGCCGACTTTAAAGGTTGAGCGCACTCGACACCTCACAATGAGAGGACTCTCAAGAAGGAACACACAACCTCACGGTAAGAAGTGTCGGAGAGGGTAGATAAGGTTAAGAGCAACGTACCTCAAATAGCTGCCCCCAACCACAGAGATAATCTCACCAGATGACCTGATGGCGATTGCGATGACCAGTCACTGCATCGGCACAACCAGCATTATCTCACCGTTCCACCTCAACATCAATTGCACATTAGATAGTTCTCATTGTCCAGACCACATTACTTCCACGTAGCCTTCCTGGCGATCCCCTCACCTCCTGGGTCGCCACTCAATGGCCTCCGCCCTCCTCACTACACACCACTTACGGCCAAACTCGCCAAGCAGACCGCATGTATGTACCGTACCAGGCAGAATTGCATCACAGCGCCAGATGAGCGCAATCGTACCACAGCTCCGATACCAAATTGCAAGGAAGATGAGCAATAGCGAACTTCAGCAATCAAACAGCATCATTCATAYRAGTCCAGATAGTCKTGACCTCGAACCAACAGCAGAATTGCATCACGAGATTCMCCAAATAAGAACACACCAAGAGTTCATAATTGACAATGCTGAAATAGTCCCATCATCATCAACGAAGAACCAGAGTTGATATCCTATCTGGCGCTCGGCGCCCAGACTACATATGGCAGATCCTATCTAGCCTATATTACAATGCCGAAAGATGACGTCAACAGCTTTCCCGAAGTACGAGCATACAGCGACCAATGTCGCACGCTTCCAGCACCAGGAATGTCACTCGCCACACTCACAACCTCGTTCCCCAACACACAGATGCCACTTGCACCCAAGGACCACCCTGCGCTTCCTCCAGCGTACAGCAGCGCAGCTCGACTATGGCTGCGTGCTCCTTCCCTGCTCGCCCGTGAGAGCGTAGGCGCCAGCCAGCAAATAGTGCAGCAGCGCTTGCGCAGCATGCAGCCAGCACCCGAATGCCGAATGAGGAGGCAGGCCCTTTGCTATATCAAAGTGGCCTGCCTGCATCCAGTCCCAGGAAGCTTCCAGTAAGCCCCGGTCGCCTGAGGCCCAGCACAATCGAGAACAGGCCTGGGGCCTGCGGTAGTTGCATGTGCCCAACTGCCTTGGCATGTGTTTGGCCCAGTACCCGTATCCAGCCCAGGGCCTGCTTTCCATTCATTCACACAGGCGGCCCAGGGCCTGGTTTTCCTCAACCATCTGGCGCTGCGCAACTGCCTGAATTTCCTTAGTTGCGCAGAGGCCGAAATAAGGCCCTGAAGGCCTCGTCGAGCATGCCTTCACTTAGGGCGGCTGACGGGCTGTAAGAGAGGGGCCGAAAGGGGCTCATAGAGGCAGTGGCCTTGCACCATGTTGCCTTTCAAAGAATACCAAGTTTTCACTCATGCATGACAGTGACCATCTGCTTAATTCACAGGCCAATGCTAGATTTGCTCCATATTTGTCCTCCCTTGGAGCAAATTTGGCATTCGCCTGCAAACTGAGGAGATGCTGATTGTCATCTTTGTGCCTTGCATGCATGAGCTTGACCTTGCTATTCTTCACACGGCTCCATAAAACTTGAACAATGAGAATAATATCCAGTAGCCAACATAGTGGTACCACAAGCGCTTTCTCCTTCGGCTTTTCATTGCTTGGCATGTGGAAGGACAAAGATGTTAGATGGCTCAACCATAGACTAACAACCAGTACATGGAAGATTAACTACCAGTACCCTGCTCAGCTATCAGCACCACATTGAGTTCCCGAACTTCGTGATTTTTCTCTATCATCTCCTCCAACAAATGAGAAGTGCTGATGCATAAGTGAATAACATGACACGCAAAAGAAACGTTTATATGGCTGCCACCGCCAGGCATGGCTACCACAACAATTCAATAGTTCAGGGGCCGGCAAAATTGAGCACTAGAAGGGCGAAGCTCAGTGTATAAGCGGCGCCTTGTTATCAAAAATTCAAGAGGACAAGAGCAGGACTTACTGACAAATAATATGAGATGTAGCACAGAGGCAACTCAAAATCTGCCATGGTCCATGGTCTTATTAATGTTTCCATTAAAAAACAAAGGTCCAAAACACACAGTTCTGTTTCAAGTTAAACAACATCTCGTGTGTCCTACTCTTAATCTGTTCTCCCATCAACAGCTACCGGTCCCTGGTAAGGGATTACATCAAGAACCACACTTTTTTCTCGAGATTTCAAGTTTTCAACAAGGAAGAAGAGATGATGAATATTTGAGAGAAATGGCACTGCTAGTGAATGTAAAGGAAGAATGTGCCTGAAGCACCTCGTCGGTGCTTTCAAATGAAAGGATTTCACCATTGCAGCCTTGGTCCCAGTCCCAAATTCCAGTTCCGCTCCCAAGTTTCAGTCCCAGTACCAAGCTACAGTCCCAGTCCCAGCTCTGAGTCCCAGTGCTAAGCCCCAATCCCGGTTCCATTGTCAGCCTCAGCCACACGTACAAACTTCACATATGCTTAGAAAGAGTGGCTTTTGCTTGTACTTGCATACAGAGATGCCTGGGAGGTTAGCTTTAAACTGCCACTACCTTTCTCATATGTTGGCCGCGGGGCAGGTCCCACTCGTTTCAGAGACCGGTAGCCGCCAATGAAAAGTATCAGTGCCCGCCCGATGGCAATTTTTTCGGAATACTGTGATACATCATTTTCCCAGATGGGACTACAGCTGCGAAAGGTAGTGGTGGTTTAAGTGCCTTGGGAATAACGATTATGGGATAGGTTGCTAGGCCAGGGGTAAGTCAGTCGAAACAGCAGCAAAGTCCTAGGAAAGCCCACGAACTTCCAGCAACGACGACATTGGCGGGGCACCGAACCCATAAACAGTAGCAGAAAGCAAATTATCAAGTATAACATCCCAGCTGGGGAGGCAGTTTCTCTTGCAAGTTCAGGAGGAAACGCTGCTGTGCTATTTTCGGATACTGAGGGCGGCGCTGCTAAGACATACTGTGACTTGTACTATAGCGTGGACTACGGACAAACAGGTGCACGCCAGTGGAGCACGTATTTGGGCGACCGTTAGGTTACGTGAAGTTAGTACACACTGCCTCACTGCTGTCATTCATTGTAGTACACACTGCCTGACTGCTGTCATTCATTCTGAAGAGCGCCCAGTGGAATTAGTTTGAATGTTAGGTTACCTGTAGTAGTACACGCTGCCTCGCTGCCGTCATTCATTGTGAAGAGCGCCCAATGAAATTAGTTTGACAAAGAGAGAGACCTTGGTGAGGGAGAGAGAAGGCTGAGAGAGAGAGAGTGACCTTACCTGAGGGAGCTTGCAGGCAGCCATAACTGCACCTTCCTCTGTAAAGACAAATGCCTACTTGAGTTAAATGACAGATACTGTCTTTCAGGTACATCTCACATACGCTTCGATGAGTGGGCATCATCTGGGCTGTGCATGGAGTGAGTGTGTGGTGGATGGTTGGTCTCAAAGCACACCATATTCAGTCACAATTGATGACATTACTGAATTCGGGATCACATAATGGTTTAGTGCAGTTGCAACACTGCAGATGGATTCTTTGCCTACCTCTCATAGCTGTGGCAAGATTCTATGAGGATTCTCAGAGAGAATGTGATGGGTTAAATCACCACTACCCTGATAGTAGAAATTTAGCAAACCGACACATTTGTGGGAGAGCGACACAAAGTTCTGGTCCTGCCAGCAGCAGCAGATCACAAAAATGTGTGCTATTACAGTCAGAATTCTGTTTCTTCAACTTTCTTGCCATTCGGAGCTTTCCCTCATTTTTATTATTTCACACATTTTCTAATATTTCTCCCGAGAACATCAGTAGTCAATCTATGCCACTGACTTTCTCACATTTTTCGTCACAACTTCTGATCATGAAAAATTGCCAAAGTCACTCATGTGGAATTCTGTTCGACCAGCTTGTGCAGATCAGTTGTTATACCAATCGACTGTTGAAACAACGACCTGTTTTCAAGTTCCACTGCAAGCAGATGAGTTAAAATATAACTCGGAATTGATCTGGGGCTGTGGCCCTTTGTTAGCAATAGAAGAGTTTTGGTTGCTGCTGCTGACTGCCCCTGCAGATGGTAGGTTGACCTGTCCTACAGCTTGAATGGTACCCTTTACTGCTGAGACGTGGGCAGAGGTAGATGATCGAGGAACCAAGCTAAATTTTCATATTTTCCCGGAAAACTCTTTCACACAGCCTGGCATACATACTCTCACAGTGTCCCGGACATGAACACAAATACGCACTCTATTTGTGAACCTTCACAAATACATAATCTGGATGCTGCGTTCCACTCAATATGGTTATGGATGATCAGAGAGAAAAATAGGTAATATTTTGAGAAAACACCCTTTCACCCTCCCTGCCACACATATACTCTCACATCATGCAGTCTCATCACCACACCTAACCTCATGAGACTGCAGGAGAAACCTTGGAAACATATAATCGGGATGACACATTTTCATGAGAAACCACACAAGCCCTAATCTTCATGCACATCGCCTGGCCGGAAAAATGACCTGGCAGTACAGGAGAAAGTGTGAACCTGACACGTATCCCCTCCAATCTAGCAACCTCAGTATTCTTCCCCGTAGAATTATACCTGCACCTCACTTTCCTGCTCACCCTTTCTCTCTTACATCCTGGACAAAAGGGGCAAGTAACATAGTTCCCCCAGGATGGACCAACCTTGATGGGACAATATCAACAAGCTACCGTAATTCAGTAAAAGACCTCAGGAAGATGGATTTCATTCAATGAGTCAAGAGCTCCTTGCAATAACCAACCCGGAGGCAGTCTACTTTTCCCTACTGGTGGTTACCCGCTGATCTTGTACACAAGCTCACAGCCACCCTTTCTAAGACAATTCCCATATCTCATATTCCCAAGTCATCACTTCCAGTCATCGCCAGACACAAAAGCTCAAGAAGAACAACCTACCATGTGCTTAAATGTGCAAAAGAGAAACCTTCCATCCATGTGAAACAATCGTTTCCCCAGTTGGGTCAGAACTTGTCTACTCTGAGCAGCGTAAAACAGCAAGCAGCACACCCACAGCACATCATACATCAGCACTCATCTGAGCAAGGCAAATTCAAATGAGACAAACCGTCCATCGAGGGACTTGTTGTCCACACCTCCTACCACAAGCTAACTGCCATAACTGACGGCATCTGCTGCCACTACAGAGTGATTCCCTGACCTCGGCTCAATGTCACGCATTCCCATTCACCCAATGGCCATGGGTGCTTCTTAAGCATTTGCTAAGAACAGTTCCAAAATATTCATCACTTTCACGTTCTGTGCCACAAAAGATTGCTCATCTACTCTGACTAGGATCACGTGGCCCTAAATCACAAAGACTGCTTCCTTCCGATGCCGAGCAAGCATACAGTACAACTGTGCATTTCTCGAATATTGCTGCAAACAGAGCCTTAAGCGTTCCCTTTATCACATATAAAAAGCCATGTCTGGATGATATCACTTGCTGCCGCTTTAGTCACAGTCCAGTAACCATAGCAAACAAGGGCGGCTGAGAATAACGGCCATCGTGCTACAACCCCTGTGCACTACGATTTGGACTCGATGACTGCCAACTGCGGCATTAGTTGACCTATCATTAATTTATCATGTAAGCTGCAGAGTACCCATTCATACAGTGAAACCAGGTTGACAAACGGTCGAGCTGCCAATCTGTTGCCTTGTGTCTGTTTTACAGCTCGCAGTCACTCGTCCTGTGTCCCATGAGCTAATCAGAGCATGTATATGCTTTGGCTAATCGAGTCTTGGAAGCCTTTCCCTATTTTGCAATGTCGCTGTGCGCAGACAGGAAGCATGTCATCGAACATCACGTGATACTACAGCTAATCAAGTTTTTGAAGCCTTTCCATATTTTGCAACATAGCCCTGCACAGAAACACAAGCAGCATGCCATCACACCGAAACATAAGCAATAAGTTTAAGACAGTCTCCACATTCAGCTGCGAAAGTTGGGACAGCTTCTGGTGTCTGAAAGTCTGAACAATTCCTGTTGATGTAAAGAAATCCCCTAGCTAACCAAAATGTTCAATATTCAATTCATACTGCCAGATACCATTAACTGCATTACACTACCACAGCATGCGGGTATAAAACAAAAATCAGGTGTTTAAGAGAGTTGTGACATAGGTGCCCCGCCTTCAGCATCGACACCAAAATACCCACACTTTTGCCAGTCATCTTCCCATCTCACCTGCTTTCGTTCACCAAAGGAGCACAAATAAAGGAAAACAGCAGTGATACTCTCCCTGATGCAATAAACTCAGTTAAAATGCGCACAGACAAAAGCAAGGGTCGTAACTTTTGATCAAAGCCCAGTCCCAGGGATCAAAGGTCGTGTCCACAGCCTTAGGAAAGTCTGAGAGAAGTCATAGGGCAAAGGGTTGTGAGGCCCTAAGTCAAAAGCTGTGTCCAGTGGCCCCCACACCGGGCAGTTGACTCTTGGAAAATCAAGAGTCAGACCCAGAAATAAAAAAGCAGGCCCAAAGTCAAAGTCTCCCAGTAGTCAACCACGGCCATCGATCAGATGCACATCAAAGGCTGTCTGCAGGTTTCCATAAGATTCCAGTTCCAACTGGAACATGACACATATGGGTCAACAGTACATCCAGGCCATCGACTTCAGGAAAATCTGCGCCGTCGACACGGTCAAGTGGGAGGCTGGTCAATGCCACTCGACGCTATAAGAAGGCCAGACCCTGGGGATTGTCATTCTGCCTGGCATTTGCTCGCAGCCAAGTCGCTGCTCACAAGGCTGGTGGAGAGGGAAGCTGGCGCCATATGCTGGATGTGGGTGCCAGCCACGAAGGTGGTGCTGAACGAGCGGCCATAGCCGCCATGGCTGTAGAAGAGAGAGAGTGGGCAAGGAGTAGGAGGATCAGGTCTATGAGATTGAGAGGAGGAACGTGAGTGGGAAGCTTACCTGAACTTACCTGGTGCTTATGTTATTGAACCTGCTGCTGGTCTACAGGAGATTGAGGAATGACACCGCCCACCCTCCATAGCCAGGGCTATAGTGGGAGGTTGAGTGACTTGCTGGAATCTGCACAGATACTTTGTCAGTGATCGTCAGAAGAGTGCATGCATTGATGAGGTGGCGAAGGAGGGAAGACACCTGAAGGAGAGGTGGGAGTTGGAGAACCGACATACTTGTATTGTTGATTATTAATGTAACTTTTCTCTCCCTCCTCTCCGTCTTTTCTGTCCCTTGTCTCGCTCTGATGGCTAGCTGCTTTGGACACATGCAATCAATAAAGTTTGGACTTGCAATAATCTCTGGAATCCACACTTTGATCGCTGGTTTAAGATTTGTGCGACCTTGTTGATTGAGCTTCTCAACGAGAATGGATTCCTCATAAAACAACGCGAGGTAGAAGTCAGGCCATAAGCTCGTGTAACCACCAGGACAGCAGGTGTTCAATCTGAATTCTCGAGCTGCTAAGGTGAAAGGATTCACAGGCCGTGTCCCATTTTCTTTCGTACCTTAGGGCCGAAGTCGACCCTTGTGGTGAACGAAATAGAGATCCGATAGGATAAGACTTGCGGCAACAGTAGTGGGTCCTAGTAGTTAGTAGGAAGGGAGTCCCTACGAGTCGACTCTCAGTCCCGTTGCAGCTCAGTCCCCAGGAAGGCCCACGACCGACCGAATCTTTTTCTGCCGCAGAGGGGCCTGGCAGTAAAGGTCCGTAGGAGGCCGAGGCACGAGCACAAAAGGGAGGCCAGCATCAGGAACCTCCTCTTCTCAATTCTGGGTCATGTGGAAGTGCTGCTGTGTTGCTGGTGCCAAGATCTCACCCTGGTAGGACAGACACAGGAGATGGAATTTTATCGTTCCTCGAAACAAATTTGATAGTGGCCAATTTCCCCGCCTGGATACATATGATGACTCGTAGATTTTGGAAATATTGATACCATTTACAGAACGGTTTGGGGACATTTCAAGACAATCAAAGATTACGACTCCTATCGGGCTAAAAGCCAGAGGTGGGCTGTTGTGGCCGGCACCATTTGGCAGATCAAACATACTGCGAAAACCAAGGGCCATTTTGGAGCCTGGGATACCCAAAAAACCCTTTTCTGGCTGGGGTGCAATCAGATTCGATTTCATTCGAACTTTTCATGCATGTAAACAGTAGCGCCCACTCACAACTCAGAGATATGGCATCCAGATACGAGTTCACTTTCAATTGGCTATGGCGACTCAGCGCCCAAACAACTCACTGTTCACATACACCGGATCACCCTGGATATCCCACACGTGACTCTCTGCACTCTCACGCATACACACACACTTCACACTAACTCTAGCTATGGCGGCTATGGCCGCAACTACCCTATCGCTATGCTACGCTCCTCCTCTCTTGCCCACTTCAGCTCCGGGCTCACTGCAGACCTCCTTGCACAAGTTTGCTGTGGCAGCGCTTCCGCATGGCTCACGCAGGAATGAATGAATGGCTGGGCGCTGCCTCTTGATTTATACTTCTGAAGCTCGTTGGTCTGCCCCTTTCCTTCGGCCCAGGGTGCACACAGTCCCTCATGGTACTTGCTGGACTGGACTGGGACTGTCTGGACTGCACCGCTGACTGCTTAGGGACTCACTGCTAACCTACCAAGATCGCACTGCGATCGTACTGCAGTTAGTCCACCACTTGACTCGCCACTTGACCACTTGCAGACCTTCTAGAAGACTACAGCTAAGACTTCTAGACTTCACTAAGACCTCTATTCGACAGACCTACAGATTGAACCCCTACCACCTACTGACCTATGACAGCCTACCAACTGTTTACGAATACACAGGTCACGGCTTCAACACTCGGGGTCTACACAGGTACTGTACACAGGTGGGGCGAGGTCTAGGGATCGAGCCCTGGGATCTGCATCTGCTACTGCCAAAAGGTGAAAACCGTTTCACTCCCGCCGTCCTAAATTCGAGGTCCTCCGAGAATATATCAGTCCAAGGCAGGACCTTTACCCTTTCTATCACGCTCCTAGGCTCTGACTGTGTCGGGAGCAGTTTCTAGAAGTTCTGTTCTAGTAAACCAGCGGTCGTCTTCCGATTCTTGGTCAGCAAACCGGACCTTATACTGTTTCTGTGGACGACCTCTACCTCCTGTTCTAAAGACATCTTCATCTACAATGCCGTCAATGTCATAACTTCCATCCATATCCGGGGGGATCATGGATCTTCTTGAAGGGAACTGTTGACTTGTGACACACGGCAACAGCTTTGAAGCATGGAACACAGGGTATGTGTGGAGGTGTGCTGGAATCTCTATAATGTAGGACGGTCCATCCTTTCCGCCCTCGACTTCTAGAATCGGCCACGGTCCTCTATATGCAGGCAGCAACTTCTGCGAGATGTGCTCCTCAGGTGCAAACTCTTTAGACTTGACCCAGACTAAGTCGCCTACCTGAAACTGCGATGGGCGACGGTGCTTATTGGCCTGTTCTATCATTCTGTGCTAGCCTTCCTGAGGTTTTCAACAACAGTTGCTAGCTCTTTCTCGTGCTGTACCGCAAACTCCCTAGTACCGGGCGGTAGCCTGTGAATCTGATCCCAGTTCAGTCCTTCGAATGGTCTGCGCGGTCTAAAGGACTTGTGCAGCTCATTGGGAGTGCGAAAGGTGGATAGGTGCATGCTGTTTTTGTATGCACTAGCTACCTTAGGTAACATCTCGTCCCAGTTGATCTGATCGGGTCTATTGTACATGCGCAGAACTTGCTGTAGGATCTTGTTCATTTGCTCGGTCTGACCGTTGGTCTCTGGGTGGCGGCGAGACGACATCAACAACTTAGATCCGTAAACTCGCACGAGTTCTTGCCAGTTCTGGCTGGTGAAACAACTATCCCTATCACTAACGATTGACAATGGGACTCCATTCTCACTAACCCAATGATAAAAAAACTTCTGAATAACTTTGTGCGTGCCTCTGCAGGCAATGGAACAAAAACGGCATACTTGCTAAATCGGTCAACTATGACCATGACTTGGCTCTTGCCATGCCTACTCTTGACTTGAGTATCCATGAAGTCTATGGACACGGAATCTCCAGGCTGATCAGGAATAGGCAGAAGTCTGAGAAGACCTAGAGGTGCGCGCGTAGTAGTCTTATTCCTCTGGCACACTTTACAACCGCGAACATACTCTATGCAGTCATTCTTCATCCCAGGCCAGGTATACGCACGCATCAGATTGGCTAATGTCTTTTGCCAACCGAATTGTCCCTCTGTGTCATGGCATTCCCCTAGGATCAGACTACAGATCTCCTCGCTGTTGGGAACACAGAGACGGTCGAATACATTAGTCTTCTCGAATAGCAAACCCTCTGTAGTGCGGTAATCTGGCTCTGTCTCTGGGGCCTCTCTAACTTTCTTTAGGAGGTCACTATAGATAGGGTCCTGTGCATACGCTTGCCTCACTTACTCCTGCAGGTCTCCCCAAAGTAGTCTGATCTTCTACTCGGAACGTCCGCGACTACGTTATATTTGCCTTTGACCGGTTTGAGCTCAAAGTCATATTCGTCTATCTCAGCAGCCCACCTAGTTAGCTTAGGTGTCATCTTGGCCTCGGTCTTTAACCATTGAAGTGTTTCATGGTCAAAGTACACTTTGAAGTGCCTCCCAAGCAGGTAATGCTTCCAATGCTCTAAGGCCTGCCTGAGAGCGTAGAGTTTTCTCTCATACGTCGAGGTGGCTACTGTCTCTGAAGGCATCCTCACGGATATGAACTCTACGGGTCTATAGCCATTGCCGTCATCTTGCTGCAACACGGCGCCTATTCCATACTGACTCGCGTCCGTGGTAACGACAAATGGCAAGGACGGATCAGCTACCTTGAGGACAGGGTATTCTATTAACGCATGCTT